CTCACTCTGTCACCAGGCTGGAGTGCAGTGGCGCAATCTCAGCTCACTGCAACCTCCACCTGCCAGGCTCAAGCGATTCTCCTGCCCCAGCCTCCCAGGTAGCTGGGAGTACAGGCGCATGCCACCACACCCAGCTAATTTTTGTAGAGATAGGATTTCACCACGGTGATCAGGATGGTCTCAATCTCTTGACTTCGTGATCCACCAGCCCTGGCCTCCTAAAGTGCTGGGATTATAGGTGTGAGCCACCATGCCCAGCCTCTGATTCTTTTAAATTACAATTATTGGTTGCAATGGTGAGGTTTCTAGGAAAGCAACTAAAAATATATAGGAGAGGTCCGAGAAAGAATTTCGAGACGGAGGCATACATTAAAAAGAGGGATTCCCTCTGACACTGAGGGCAGGAGGAGGATTTTCAGGCTGGGCAAAGAGGGAGAAATAGTGCTCACCAGCTGATGCTGGGTCATGCAGCTGCTGTGTGTGACTCAGCTGTTTCTGAGATTCTGAGTGACAGCCAGAAGTGGAAGGGAAGCCCAAGTGCTTCCTGCATTTCTGTGTTCTTGGAACTCTTGTGGGAGGCTTAAGTTCCTGCTTCTCCCCCAGGGCTCTGTGCTCATTCCTCTTTTCCCTGTCTGCCCTCTCTTCAGTGAGTCATCTGGCTCCATGTTCTGAAATACCACCTGTAACCAAAATAATAGTTCCATCCTGACTTCCCTGCCAAGCTCCCAATTGTATATCTAGCTGCCTTGCTGACCTTTCTGAGTGTACCGCATCTAATGGGTATCTCAGAGCTGAACTGGCTAAACCGCTATCTTGACTCCCCCATGTTCTCCATCTCAGCAATGACACTGTCATTCGTCTAGTTCCTCACATCCAGCACCAAGGGATTATCCTTGATTTCTCTATTTTCTTTAACACCCCCCACACACCTCCTCAGCCAATCCATCAGCAAAACCTTGTCAGCTACAGAACTGATAGATCATGTCTCTTATCTGTCTACTTTCTGTCTACCTTCAGGGCTACCACCTGGTTCAAGCCACAGTTATCCCCTAGACCTTGGAGCAGCCTCCTCTCTGGCCTCCCTTCCTCATTTTGTGCTCCCTTTGAGCTATTCTTTTTTTTTTTTTTTGAGATGGAGTTTTACTCTTGTCGCCCAGGCTGGAGTGCAGTGGCGCAATCTTGGCTCACTGCAACCTCCGTCTCCCGGGTTCAAGTGATTTTTCTGCCTCAGCCTCCGAGTAGCTGGGATTACAGGCATCTGCCACCACGCGTGGCTAATTTTTGTATTTTTAGTAGAGATGGGGTTTTGCATGTTGGCCAAGCTGGTCTTGCACTCCTGACATTAGGTGATCCACCCACCTCAGCCTCCCAAAGTCCATTCTTTACAGAGCAGCCAGAACATTTTTTTAAAAACCCCACACATATGCTGTGTTAGATAACATTGCTTTCCTGCTTTAATTCTCCTGAGCCTTCCCATTGCACTTTGAAGAAAATGCCATCCTTTCTGCAGGTGTCTGAAGCCTACGTGGACTGGCCCTCTCCTCCCATGGCCCAAGCTCTCACTGTTCTCCATCCTACCTGCTACGTGCCACACTTTGTCCACTCCGGCCTTTCTGCTTTCCTGGATGTATCAAGCTCCTTGCTCAGGGTTTTTTTACTGGTTGCTATGGTTTCCCTGTTGCAGACATTCTTACTTCAGCTTCTTGACGGGCTGGCTCATTTTTATGTTTCTGGGTTTCAGCTCACAAACCCACTTTGGAGCAGACTTCCTTGACCATCCTCTCTAAAACAGCCCCCCAGCTGCACTCTGCCTCATTGTTCTGCCTTTCCATCTTCATGGCATGCGTCACTGTGCATCATGACCCTATTGTTTATTTATTTATTGGCTTCTTGTCTGTCGTCTCACCTCCAGATTGTAAGCTGTACCTGTCTTATTCACGGCAGTGCCCTCAGGGCTGAAAACTGATTGAAATCTGATAGATGGTGAAATACGATGTTTTTTGAATGAATCAATTCCACTTCCTTACAAGTCAGTGTTTCCCACAGCCCCTTCTCCTCTCCCATTGGGCGTGTTTCCCGTGGCTTCCATGCAGTTGGTTCCTATGCTTACATCTCTAGCCTCTCTGATCTCCAGATTATGTGTTCAACTTTCAGATGGACATCCCGCTTAGATAGCCCAGGCTGAACTCATGAGCTTCCCCATAAGCTTTTTCTTCTTCTCTTCTAAGTATCTATTGCTGTGTGCAAACTCCCTAAACATCTTGACTTGAAATAGCAACAGTCATTTATTTTGCTCACAGATCTGCAGTTTGGGCAGGTCAGCTTTTCTCTGCTCCATGCAGTCTAGCCGGGGAGGTACAGAGGCTGGTCTGCCTTCACATTGCGGGCTGGAGTCCTCAAATGGCTAGGAGTAGATGCAGGCTGTTGCCTGGAACCTTGGCTAAGGCTGTTGCCCAGAACCCCTCCATGTGGCATCTTGGGGTGGCTTCTTGGCTTCCTCACAGCCAAGTGGTGAGCATCTAAAGAGGACCAGGCATGGCTGGGCACGGTGGCTCACGTCTGTAATCTCAGCACTTTGGGAGGCTGAAGTGGGTGGATCATATGAGGTCAGGAGTTCCGGACCAGCCTGACTAACATGATGAAACCTTGTCTCTACTAGAATATACAAAAATTATCCAGGCATGGCAGCAGGCACCTGTAATTCCAGCTACTCAGAAGGCTAAGGCAGGAGAACTGCTTGAACCCAGGAGGTGGATGTTGCAGTGAGCTAAGATCGTGCCACTGCATTCCAGCCTGGGCAACAGATTGATACTCTGTCTCAGTAAATAAATAAATAGGCAGGCAGAGGCCGTAGCACCTTGCGTGACCTCATGTTGGAGATCACACATGTCCTGTATCATCCTGTTAGATATCCATTCTGCCATCATCATGGGCCCACCAGATTCAAGGGGGAACATATGCCCACTTCTGGCGGGAGGAGTGTTCACATGACCTTGTGCTGGGAGATCTTGCTGTGCCCGTCTTGGAAAATACCATCTGTTGCATCTTCCCTCTTCCCTTTCTAAGTGAGGGCTGCTGCTCCTGCCCCACCACCAAGCAGATGCAGGTGTTCCATCCTCGTTCTGTGCCTCACCTGGCCCCTCCAACCAGAGGATTCCATAGACCTCCCCTTTGACCTTTTATTCATCTGAAGTGTTTGCTCTGTGACCATCACGCTAGTACAGAGCTGTGTCAACTCTCTCCTGAGCAGCTGTGGTCACCCAGCCTGTCTCCACCCTATCATTCTCCTTCCCTTTCATTTCCTCCACTACACGGTACCAGGGGAAAGTGAAGAATAAAAATTGGGTTATGTTGTTTTGATGACAGTCCCACTGTGGCATCTTATAACTCCAGAGCACTAAGCCCAAGGATAGGCCCTGCTGACTTTTCCCATCCCATCTCTTGGCCGATGCTCCTCTGCTTGTCCCTGCCCCCATCCTCCTTTTGCCCAGACTGGCCACACCCATAGAAGCCTCACTTCCGGCTCTGCTGCCTCAGGAACACCAAGTTGCTTTCCACTGAGAAGGCTTTCCTGTCGCCTTCCATCCTGTCGCCCCAAACCAGCTATCCTCTGTTTAGGTCTGCCATGCCCCCAGCAGACACCTAGTGCCTGTCTCCACACCAGATCGCCACATCCCAATCACAGAATCACCTCTCTTTTGGAGGCTCTGGGCATCAGGTGTGCAAGAGTCATCCCCAGCCCCCAGCACAGGTCCTGTGTGTGCTGGGCCCTCAGTGGATGTCAGGGGGGAATCCACGATGGCGGCACAGCCCTTGTGTGGGGTGGTAGTACCCCCCAGAGCCTGCTGTGCTGTGGCTCATGGGGTTAGGGCCTGCAGCAGATCTCCATGGCAGTGTAACTGTGGGGTGCCTGCACATTCTCTCGTGTACCACCCTACAGTTCCGAGGAAATCCCAGCCTGCCCTCTGGATGGGTTCAAGTTGGTGCACTGAGATCTTTTGAGTCTTTCACCTGCCCAGGTCAGCCCAAGACTAAAGCTATCACTGTCCTTACACCAGAAATGTGCAATAGCTTGATAAGAAATTTTCATTCAAAGGGAAAGAACTAGCATCCTCCCTCCCTAGCTGCTGCTTGTGAATATTATTATAAAGGATAAGGCAATGTTAAAGCCCTTTTCTTACATAGATTTACTGTTTAAGAAAGAGCTACTAAATAAACTGTGGTGACCAAGTTTATCTAATAAATAAGTAGGAGGGATTTACCAATGACCATTATTCTTGATCTCCTCTCTCAAATGGAATAATTCTGTCTTCATGCATATGGTATGGACTGGCACCGTAACTTGGTTTGTACTCACCATATTTACTTATGTAATTTCCTACCTAATGTTCCTATCATTGTTTTTATCTTGCAGAGGGGAAGGAGGCCCATGGTGTATTCACCTCTCCTTCACTGACACCTGGGGCTCAGGACCTAAAACATTAGTCAAGACATTATTCCTTTCTTCCAAAAAAGTTCAAAACCCAAAAGCTTATTTAGACCACTCGAAACGTTTTCATATCTTCATTTTAGTGTCCAGCTCTTCCTTGTCTTTGAAAGTGAAATGATCTAGGTTTAAGAATTACATGTTTTTCCTTCAAAAATTGGCAAGGAGATGAAAGGTGAATATAATATTTTAAAGATTTATTTGAATGCTATTAACCAAATTTGCTTTCAGTATCCATGTTTTTAGCTTGTACTTACCTATGTCTTTTAGAGGGAAGATTGTTATTTTTTCCTTATTAATGTCATTGCTAATATTCTATAATGACCAAATTTCAGAGTTGAAAGATGATTGTAGAGTTTTCATGACAATCATCGAATGGTTATACATGTAAACCTAAATATAGTGGGAGAAATACCATTTAAGAAGTTTTCTGGGTTCTGTTAAACACTGTAAGTGTTTTGTTTAGTATGTTGGCTTTAAACATGTTTAATAAATAGCTGTATCTCTTTTATAGCCACAGCTGTTGCAAATCCAACACTGTCCTCCTTAGACGTTAAACGGATTTTATTTCAAAAAATTACCGACAGAGGGGAGGAGTTGAAAAAAGCCTTTCAGCTGCTTGATACTGGTCAGAACTCGACTGTGTCAAAAAGTGAACTGAGAAGAATTATCGCAGACTTCCTGATGCCGCTCACACGAGAACAGTTTCAGGATGTGTTGGCTCAGGTGCTGTATGTTGCACATGCTTAGAATCATTCAATTCCAGACAAGCTCAGGGGAGAATATAACCCATCCTGACTTTCTCCCACTGTTGCCACTGAGTAGTTGAATAGTTGAAGTTTTGTTTATTTTTCATAATTCACTTAATTAAGGCTGACGTAGATGATCATGATTGACAGATACTCGGTCATATTTTGCATGTAGCACTTCTCCAGCCAGTTTCTTTTCTTTTCTTTCTTTTGAGACAGAGTTTTGCTCTTGTTGCCCAGGCTGGAGTTCAGTGGCATGATCTTGGCTCACTACAACCTCTGACTCCCAGGTTCAAGCGATTCTCCTACCTCAGCCTCCCTAGTAGCTGGGATTACAGGTGTGGGCCACCATGCCCAGCTAATTTTGTATTTTTAGTAGAGATGGGGTTTCACTATGTTGGCCACGCTGGTCTTGAACTCCTGACCTCAGGTGATCAGCCCACCTCAGCCTCCCAAAGTGCTGGGATTATAGGCATGAGCTGCTGCACTTGGCCTTCTTTTCATTTATTTTAAGGGTCCATATAAATGTATTTGGGTCAACTTATATTTTGGAGCTTAGCATTTTGTTATTTTTTCTTGCATCAAATAGTTATTGAGCATCTGCTACCTGGTAGACCCAATGCTAGACACTGTGGTGCAGATAAATCACATTCAGGCCCTGCCCTTGAGGGGCTCCCAGCCCAGTGAGATGCTTATGGAGTGTCGGCAAGTGCTGGGGCAGGGTTCACTGCAGGGTGGCTGGGAGTTACAGGATGGCAGGCTATCTGAAAATGAGGACAGGTAGTCCAGAAAGGCTTTTTGGAGGAGGGGTATTTCACTTAGTTTTGACTGAGGAGTGGGTATTTGCAAGATGAGAGGGGATAGCCTGTGTGAAAACTCGGATGCCCGCATTTGCCTGCCATGCTTATTCAGGGACCTGGGTAGTTCTGTGATTTCTATTGGAAGTGAAGAAATATGGATCATGTTGTAACTAGAGGGGCCAATCCAGAAAAGCACATAGTAAAACAGTTCAACCTTTATCCTAGAGGGATGTGGAGGATGAGGGCCCTTGGCCACCTGGTGGTGTACCATACCAGGTGGCCAAGGGAAGAAAGGAGTGAAAATGTGTGGACTGTGTCCTTGGGGCCCTTAAAAAAGGAATACAAAATGCAGTAGGAATTAAAGACTTTTTTTTTTTCCCCCGAGACGGAGTTTCACTCTTATTACCCAGGCTGCCATGGCGCAATCTCGGCTCACTGCAACCTCTGCCTCCCAGGTTCAATCGATTCTCCTGTCTCAGCCTTCTGAGTAGCTGGGATTACAGGTGCCTGCCATTATGCCTGGCTGATTTTTGTATTTTTAGTAGAGACGGGGTTTCACCATGTTGGCCAGGCTGGTGTCGAACTCTTGACCTCAGGTGATCCACCTGCCTCCGCCTCCCAAAGTGCTGGGATTACAGGTGTGAGCCACCACGCCCGGTGGAATCAAACACTTCTAAAATAAGTCTATAGTGATCAAAAGTAGAAAATTTGGGCTACAATAATATTGTTAGTACTGCATTTAACCCAATAACTAAATTTGCATACACACACATACATGCACACACACAGACAAGTACTCTAGCCTGGATGACACAGCTAGTGAGACTCCATCTCAAAACAAACAAACAAAAAAAACTAATGAATGAGTAAATATATATATACAATCTTGGCTCACTGGAACCTCCACCTCCCAGTTCAAGTGATTTTCGTACTTCAGCCTCCCAAGTAGTGGGATTACAGGCATGTGCCACTGTGCCCAGCTAATTTTTGTATTTTTGGTAGAAACAGGGTTTCATCATGTTGGCCAGGCTGGTCTCGAATTCCTGACCTCAAGTGATCAGTCTGCCTTGGCCTCCCTAAGTGCTGGGATTACAAAGATGTGAGCCACTGTGTCTGGCCTCATTCATTAGTTCTTAATCAGAATCTGACTTCATGCTATCTCCTAGTAATTTAAAAACTTATTTCTTTTTAGAATTTGCTGTATACCACAACTGACCCACTGTGTATACTTTCAATACAGGGGAATTAAGTGTTATGAAAACAAATAGACTGGGCGCAGTGGCTCACGCCTGTAATCCCAGCACTTTGGGAGGCTGAGGTGGGCGGATCACCAACCTCAGGTAATCAAGACCAGCCTGACCAACATGGAGAAACCCCATCTCTATTAAAAATGCAAAATTAGCTGGGCGTGGTGGTGCATGTCTGTAATCCCAGCTACTCAGAGGCTGAGGCAGGAGAATCACTTGAACCCAGGAGGTGGAGGTTGCAGTGAGCTGAGATCATGCCATTGTACTCCAGCCTGGGCAAAAAGAGTGAAACTCCTTCTCAAAAAGAAAAGAAAGGAAAAACAAATAGATCAGTGAATTTTAGGCATTCCTAAATTCCAGTCTTAATTTCAAGGACTGATTCTCTTCTTTTTTTCTGACTTAAACAAAATATATACAGTTCTATTTGTTTCTTCTTATGCATAGCATGTTCTGTTTCAAAGTTTTCTCTTCCCTCTAATGCTGTCTTTTTTTTTGAATTTGTCAAGTTTTGAGCCATAATTTTCCCAAATATTTTTTTCTGTCCCATTCTTTCCTCTCTTAAACATTTTGATATGTCCCACTGGGCTCTGAGGCTCAGTTTATTAAAAAATTTGTTTATTCTATCATTCAGATTGGATAATGTCTATTGATCTGTCTTTAAGTTCACTGACTCTTATCATCTTCATTCTGCTATTAAGCCCACGCCTTGAATTTTTACTTTTAGACATTGTATATTACAGTTGTAGAATTTCCATTTGATTCCTCTTTATGATCTCTTTACCTGCTTAGATTTTCTGTTTTTCTTCAGTTATGAGCATGTATCTTTCGACTCTGAGCACAGTTAAGATAGCTGCTTTAAAGTTCTTGTCTAGTAATTCTCATGTTAGTCATCTCAAGGTTGGCCTGCATTGATTGTCTTTTCCATTGAGAAGGGTCTTATTTCCCTGGTTGTTTATATTTGAGTATGTTTAGATAATATCCCAGAACAGAGCTATCCAAAAGAAATATACTGTGAGTAGATCAGGTGTGGTGGTTCATGCCTGTAATCCCAGTGCTTTGGGAGGCCCAAGTAGGATCATCGCTTGAGCCAAGGAGTTCAAGACAAGCCTTGGCAACATAGGGAGACCCCATCTCTACCGAAAATTTAAAAATTAGCTGACCTTGAGCCCAGGTGTTGGAGGTTGCAGTGAGCCAAGATCACGAGATGCATTCTAGCCTGGGTGACAGAGCAAGACCCTGTCTCAAAAAAAAAAAAAAAAAAATGTATGTATCTACTGTGAGCCACCTATGTTAATATTTTTATTCAACCCTATATATCCAGAATATTTCATTTCAACACGTAATTACTGTTAACATTGTTGATAAAACATTCAATAATTCTTTCTGCCTACTAAGGCTTCAAACCTGGTGCGTGCTTTCAACTTAGAGCAGACTTCAGTTCAGACACTAAATCTCTTGATTGGTATTTGTATTTCATAAGATTTACAGTTGAAATATTAGATTCATATACCTAACTATTCCAAACATACTTAAAAGTTTTCCAATAATTGAATCAATATTATTGTTAAATTTTAAATTAACATTTAAAAAGCAAAAAAAAAATAGCTAATACAACTGTATTAGCCACATTCCAAGTGCTCAGTGCGCATGTGTGGCTATGGCTGTTTCTTAGTGCAGCACTCAACATTGTAAATGGTGTGGGGACTCTGGATTCTGTTCTGTTCCTCTGAAGACTTGACGCTTTTGTTTTGACAGGCAGTTAACTTGCAGATTCTGTCTTCCCTGCAGCCAGCAGTTGCTCTTAACTCAATTCATTTGTTTATCTTTATCTGGGCCTTTTTGAGTCTGACCTGCACATGCATGGTTCAGGGTCAGTTAGAAATTTGGACAGGGTTATATCCAGGAAGAGGGGCTCCTCCTCTGTCTCTCTCCTTTGAGAGAAAATATGAAATTCTCCCCACATTTTCTTGTGGCTGTGGTTGCTTTAAGTTTTGTATGCCAGTCCTTTAGGTCAAAGAGACAGTGGGTTTTCTAATGGGGTTAGTTGCTCTGCTGGGCAGTGACTGCTGCCTGCTCTCAGGATAAAAGCCACTGATAGAGCAGGAAACTGCCTCCATACCTGTCCTGTCTTCTAAGTTTTGCCTTCCTGCAAAATGTGCCTGCTTTCATTCACTCTCCAGAGCCTTAAGTTTTATTTTACTTTATTTTAATCAGAGTTTTTGGTTGTTTTCCGTAGGAGGGCTGGTCTGTTTTGAGCTTTCTTTGCATAACTTCTCCGCTTTATCCTTTTTAAGAGACATGGTCTCACTGTGTTAGCCTCGAACTCCTGGGCTCAAGTGATCCTCCTACTTCAGCCTCTTGAGCAGCTAGGAGTACAGGTGTGCACCACCATGCCCCACTAATTAAAAAATATCTATTTTATTTATTTATTTTGAGACAGAGTCTCGCTCTGTTGCCCAGGCTGGAGTGCAGTGGCACGATCTCAGATCTCAGCTCACCGTAACCTCCATCTCCTGTGTTCGAGCAATTCTTCTGCCTCAGCCTCCTAAGTAGCTGGGACTACAGGCTCATGCCATCATGCCTGACTAATTTTTTGTATTTTTAGTAGAGATGGGTTTTTACCATGTTAGCCAGGATGATCTCAATCTCCTGACCTCGTGATCCACACGCCTTGGCCTCCAAAGTGCTGGGATTACAGCCATGAGCCACCGCGCCTGGCCAAAATTTTTTTTAATAAATAGAGGGTCTATGTTGCCCAGGCTGGTCTCAAATTCCTGGCTCAAGTGGTCATTCCACCTTTGTCTCTCAAAGCATTAGGATTACAGGCATGAGCCACCATGCCTGGTCACTTTATTATTTTTTCAAAGAAATCACAAAGTTACAGTGATTGGAAATACAGTACAAAGAACATGTTTTTCATCCAAACCATTTGAGAGTAAGTTTCTCCATTTCCCCACCCATTTTAGTGTGTATTTCCTATTTTATTTATTTATTTTTCTTTTCTTTTTACAAGTGTCATGTGATACTATTTAGTGTGTATTTTCTTTAAACAAGGACACTGTCCTATAATGACCATAATCCATCCTTCAAAAGAAGTTAATATGGACTCATTACTCTCATCTCAGCCCCAGAGGCCCTCTTTTCCTTAGTATATTTGCTTATTTGATCAGTTTCCCTGTTCTGTGGCTCATCTCCAGCACTTGCTCTCCCCTCATGGACACTGACCTCACACTATGGTGATGCCATTCTCATGCCATATCCTCCTTCAGACTTTGATGGCTCCCCCCACACTGTGACATCATTTCCCTCTGTCCCATCTAATGACTTTAGGACTGAATTGTTAGAAAAGATAGAAAAGGAGGAGGAAGACAGAGCTTTTCTCTTCCCTTTAAAAAAAGTTCCCCCTTTATTTACTTCTGTAACAATGGAGCAATAGTACGTATGATTTTTTTCCCACATCATGCTTTATTGCTGTCTACATTTTTAAAGTTATTTATTTATTTATTCTTCTTTTTTTAAAAGCATACAGCACCCAGTATTCCCCAGAGTTCTCCCATCCAAGTACTAACCAGGCCTGATACTGCTTAGCTTCCAAGATCAGGCATGTTCAGGGTGGTATGGCTGTAGACACTGCCTACATTTGTGATGGCAGTTTTACTAAGGTATAATTTACATGTCATAAAATTCACCCTTCAAAGATGAATAACTCGGTGTTTTTAATATAGTTACAATTTCGCAGTCATCACCACTATCTAATTGAAGACTGTTTTCTTCCAAAAAGAAACTTTGTCCTCATTAGCAGTTACTCCCCATTTCCCTTCTGCTTGTTTCTGAAAATACTAATCTGGATATTTCATATAAACGGAATCACACAATAAATGATCTTGTGTGTCTAGTACATGTTTTTAAGCCTCACCCGTGTTACAGCATGAATGAGTACCTCATTCCTTTTTATGGCTGAGTAATGTTCGTTATATGGATAGACCACATTTTGTTTACCCTTTCATCAGCTGACGGACCTTTGAGTGGTTTCCAGGTTTTGACTTTTGTGAATAGCACTGCCGTGAACATTCATGTGCAAGGTTTTGATACGGACATATGTTTTCAGTTCTCTTGGGTACATACCTAGGGGTAGAACTGCTGTGTCATATGGTAATGAAGAACATTTGTCCCTGTAAACATTGTATCAGTTTCCTCATAAACTTGGTTTAACTGATACTTTATGCCAAATGGAGAGTTAAAATATTATTTCCTGCTATGTGTCCTTATAGTCATGATCTAATGTTAATTTAAAATTTTGACAATGTTCCCAAGCTAATCAGTTATGCAGGAAGAGCAAAAGTACAGAAAATATGAAATGTGTATCTGTTTTTAAAAGCTACATCTGTTTTTAAAAGAAGCCACTGAGAACTGTAGAACTTCAAAGACTAAAAAAACAGGCCTTGGTAGTCTATCCTAAATGACAAGCAGGATTTCCAGAACCTTAAGCTCCTGTGACCTGTGTGTCAGTCAAGGAGGCTGGAGTGTGGTGCATTGCAGGAGGCCAAGGTCATTGGGAATGAAGGGCAGGGCTTCCCTTCTCCATCCATGGACTTCCCGGCATCTGTGGCTTTTCTAGATGGTCTTATGATGAATCCATTTAGTGAAACAGTCTAACAGTCTCGAGACAGCATTTCACTCTTGTCGCCCAGGCTGGAGTGCAGTGGCTTGATCTTGGCTCACTGCAACCTCCACCTCCCAGGTTCAAGTGATTCTCCTGCCTCAGCCTCCCAAGTAGCTGGGACTACAGGCATGTGCCACCATGCCCAACTAATTTTTTGTGTTTTTAGTAGAGACCAGGTTTCACCATGTTAGCCACAATGGTCTCGATCTCTTGACCTCATGATCTGCCTGCCTCGGCCTCCCAAAGTGCTGGGATTGCAGGCATGAGCCACCGTGCCTGGCCCACACTTTCTTTTTTATTCGTGTAAGCCTAACTGGACACTTACAAAATGAGGAAAAGATTTCATGGTAACTTCCCTTTAAAATTAGGAAAGAATTCTCCAGTTATAGTCTGAATTTACTTTAGCTTCAATTTTATTTTAAGACCTGTGTCAGGAATGTTTGAGTGTCAGTGTTTTAATGACTGACCAGGGCAAGAAGTATGAAGAGGTTTTGCTTGTAATCTGCCCCATACCTTTGTTTCCGTTAAGAGTAATGCAGACTCGGTGTTTTTTAAAAACGTGGCCTCGGTCCCTGAATATTAATGGATACCATTTTTAAAGAAGTTGATTTGCTAAATTGATTCCAGAGAAGGAAAACAAAGTTCTGTTTTTGTCCCAGTGGTTGTGCCGGGTTGGATAAAATGTCTTCTTGCGAGATACTTATCACAATAACAGTTACTAATTTAAAAACCAGCCTCCCCAGCCCCACTCTAAGAATTGGCTTTCAGCAATTCGCCTATGGTTTTGATTCTTAAACATTTTTGCCAGAATTGTAAATACCAAGAGGCAAGTACTGAGCAGAGCCTCTCCTTTTAGACTAGATTCTTTACTCGTCTGAGGGGCTTAGCCTTGGAGACTGATCATCGAGAGAATTTCTTTATCATCTTATAATTTGTTTTAGACTATAAATAACAATATGAAATGCAATGAAGGCTCAAACAATTTGACGGACTCTTTTTCTTCATGGGCAGGTGGTTGGTGCACTGGGACGGGCTTGCACTCTGAATTCACGGAGATCGTGCGCACTCACGGCTGTGCTGGGCAGGGAGGCCATACCTCTGCTTTGAGAGTTGTAGAAAGTCACGCCACCTCTGAGGGTGGTTTTAGGGCTGCTCATGTAAAACACTGAGAACAGTGCGGGCGCCCACTTAGTCAGCGTGAGCTCTGCAGATATGTTTCTTCCCTTTCTCGTTTCCTCTTATCACTACCAAAACCAGGAGGGCACCCAACCTTGAATGACATGTTTAATCTGTTCTCGCCCTTCTGCAAGGCTAGGGAAATGGAAATGCTTGCTCAAAATTATATCTACTAAAAAAATCCATTATCAGAAAAAGAAATCATGGGCATTCTTTCCAGGAAAAGGCTATACGGAGGCCTACCCTGTGAGCCCCTCCCCCCAGTCTCTTTTCGTAGTGATACATGTTTTAAACAGTAAAGAGCAATTCATCCTTTTGGGGAGACTGTGATAACCACGCTAGGCTTTGAGGCCGGAATTTTAAGAGCTTAGTAAATAACACATTTGATTGTGTAGATTTGGGAGCCTTTCAACTGTATGGGAAATTATACTTTGTGTATGTGTATGAAGCATCATGAAATAGATTTATATTGATTGTATATTTATTTCATGTTTATTTAAATTTTAGATTCATAGTGCTTTTTTGGAAATATTTTTATTAAGTAAAATTTAGCTTTTTGCTTAGAAATAATCTCAAACCTCTAGAAAATTTGCAGGAATAGGCTGGGCACATTGGCTCCTGCCTGTAATCCCAGCACTTAGGGAGGCCGAGGTAGGTGGATCACTTGAGTTCAGGAGTTGGAGACCAGCCTGGCCAACATGATGAAACTCCATCTCTACTAAAAATACAACCCAGCAGTGAGCTGAGATCTTGCCACTGCGTGCAGTGACCTGCAAGACCCTGTCTCCAAAACAAACAAACAAAAAAAGAAAAGTTGCAAGAATAAGAAAGGTACAAATAGTGCCCGTATGATACAAATAACGCCATATACCCTTATTCAGATTGTTTGTCTGTTTTGTTTTTTTTTTCTCGCAACTTTCATTTAATCATTCGGATTTATCTATTGTGAACATTTTACCTCATTTGTTTCTCCTGTGAGCTCTCATTTTGTGTGAGTGTGTGTGTGTATGCAAACAATATACCCAATATACATTCATATATATTTAAAAACACTTGAGGGAGGCTGGGCGTGGTGGTGGCTCATGCCTGTACTCCCAGCTACTCTGGAAGATGAGGCAGGAGAATCACATGAACCGGGGAGAAGGTTGCAGTGAGCTGAGATTGCATCATTCCAGCCTGGGCAACAGAGTGAGACTATGTCTCAAACACAAACAAACGACAACAACACTTGAGAGGAAGTTGTTTATATCACAGTTCTTTACCCCAAAATACATCAGTGTACCTTTCCTAAGAACTATTCTTTTACATAAATACAGTGCAATTGTCAACTTAAGCAAATTAAACATTGAAATATTACTTTTATTTAATCTACAATTTGTATTGACCCACTTGACCCAATGATATCCTTTGTAGAATTTTTAATTTTAAAATGGATTTTTTCTACCTTAAAACTTTATGTACAAAGTTATGTACAAAGTTCACGTGACACTCAGTATAAAATTGTGCATGCTATGGGCTCAGCTACTAATATGTGTTATATGTATGATATATGTTAGAGTATATATAGAGTATATTTCTGCTAATTTTATTTTTTAGATGATTTTAGATAATTTTGTAGGTAACTTGTTGACTTTCAGTTGAGCACAGACTGGCATTCTGGGATGCTGTTTACACTTTATTTGCTGAGAATGCATGTTCACCCTGACACCTGGGTTAAGCAGTTGTATTTAAATGTTTAATGGAATACATATCCCATTTATAGTATTCTCTGTGACATCCTGAAAGCTGCCATTTAGAAATCTGCTTCAGCGTCTATTGCTCGTATCTTAATTCTCTAACATATCATTCTGCTCCCTTGAATCTAGATCCCCCTCAGCACCTCTGGTACTGTACCGTACCTTGATTTTCTGTCCAGGTTTGGTGGAATTGACCTATATGTAACTGGCATAAAGAGGTAAGTGTTTGGTTTGCTCATGTGAAAATGTGAAATTTGAAATGATGAGTAAGAGCTGTGATGTGAAGCCATTTGCACTAATCATACCAACAGCTATATATGGAAGATGGGTTTATAGAGCTTGTCCATATGGAATTTAATGGAATTAATCCAGTCAAGTTTTATTTAGAGAAGATTTTAGCATCTATATAGGATGTACTTAGGAACAAGAGGAACGATGCTGTAATAAAATGTAAACGTAGCAAATTAAAACCAGATAAAAATAGTTTACATGCAATATATCTAGATTTGGAATTAATGGAATTTAACTTTGAAGGAAAATATTAAAATGCCAAATTTAAAATTTGTGGGGTTTTTTAATTTTTAAAAAAAATTTTATTGCCATTTTAGGTTTTGGGGTACATGTGCAGAACATGCAAGACAGTTGCATAGGTACACACATAGCAGTGTGTTTTGCTTCCTTTCTCCCCTTCACCCACATTTGGCATTTCTCCCCAGGCTATCCCTCCCCAGCTCCACCCCCCGGCTGGCCCTCCCCTTTTCCCCCCAATAGACCCCAGTGTTTAGTACTCCCGTCCCTGTGTCCATGTGTTCTCATTTTTCATCACCCACCTGTGAGTGAGAATATGTGGTATTTCATTTTCTGTTCTTGTGTCAGTTTGCTGAGAATGATGTTCTCCAGATTCATCTATGTCCCTACAAACGACACGAACTCATCATTTCTGATTGCTGCATAATATTCCATGGTGTATATGTGCCACACTTTCCCAATCCAGTCTATCATCAATGGGCATTTGGGTTGATTCCAGGTCTTTGCTATTGTGAACAGTGCTGCAATGAACATTCGTGTGCATGTGTCCTTATAGTAGAACGATTTATAGTCCTTTGGATATATACCCAATAATGGGATTGCTGGGTCAAATGGAATTTCTATTTCTAAGGCCTTGAGGAATCGCCACACTGTCTTCCACAATGGTTGGACTAATTTACACTCCCACCAACAGTGTAAAAGTGTTCCTTTCTCTCCACATCCTCTCCAGCATCTGTGGTCTCCAGATTTTTTAATGATCACTATTCTAACTGGCGTGAGATTGTATCTCAATGTGGTCTTGATTTGCATCTCTCTAATGACCAGTGATGATGAGCATTTTTTCATGTTTGTTGGCCTCATGTATGTCTTCTTTTGTAAAGTGTCTGTTCATATCCTTTGCCCATTTGTGAATGGGCTTGTTTGTTTTTTTCTTGTAAATCTGTTTGAGTTCTTTGTAAATTCTGGATATCAGCCCTTTGTCAGATGGGTGAACTGCAAAAATTTTTTCCCATTCTGTTGGTTGCTGATTCACTCTAGTGACTGTTTCTTTTGCCGTGCAGAAGCTGTGGAGTTTGATTAGGTCCCATTTGTCTATTTTGGCTTTTGTTGCCAACGCTTTTGGTGTTTTGGTCATGAGGTCCTTGCCTACTCCTATGTCCTGAATGGTTTTGCCTAGATTTTCCTCCAGGGTTTTTATGGTGCCAGGCCTTATATTTAAGTCTTTAATCCATCTGGAGTTAATTTTAGTGTAAGGTGTCAGGAAGGGGTCCAGTTTCTGCTTTCTGCATATGGTTAGCCAGTTATCCCAACACCATTTATTAAACAGGGAATCCTTTCCCCATTGCTTGTTTTTGTCAGGTTTATCAAATATTGTATGGTTGTAGATATGCTGTGTTGCCTCTGATGCCTCTGTTCTGTTCCATTGGTCTATATCTCTGTTTTGGTACCAGTACCATGCTGTTTTGATTACTGTAGCCTTGTAGTGTAGTTTGAAGTCCCGTAGTGTGATGCCTCCTGCTGTGTTCTTTTTGCTTAGAATTGACTTGGCTATGCGGGCTCTCTTTTGGTTCCATATGAAGTTCATGGTGGTTTTTTCCAGTTCTGTGAAGAAGGTCATTGGTAGCTTGATGGGGATAGCATTGATTCTGTAAATTACTTTGGGCAGTATAGCCATTTTCACAATATTAATTCTTCCTAACCATGAACATGGAATGTTTCTCCATCTGTTCGTGTCCTCTTTTATTTCGTTGAGCAGTGGTTTGTAGTTTTCCTTGAAGAGGTCCCTTACGTTCCTTGTTAGTTGTATTCCTAGGTATTTTATTCTTTTCGTAGCAATTGTGAATGGCAGTTCGTTCTTGATTTGGCTTTCTTTAAGTCTGTTATTGGTATAGAGGAATGCTTGTGATTTTTGCACATTGATTTTATATCCTGAGACTTTGCTGAAGTTGCTTATCAGTTTCAGGAGTTTTTGGGCTGAGGTGATGGGGTCTTCTAGGTATACTATCATGTCGTCTGCAAATAGAGACAATTTGTCTTCCTCCTTTCCTATTTGAATACCCTTTATTTCTTTTTCTTGCCTGATTGCTCTGGCTAGAACTTCCAGTACTATATTGAATAGGAGTGGTGAAAGAGGGCATCCTTGTCTAGTGCCGGATTTCAAAGGGAATGCTTCCAGTTTTTGCCCATTCAGTATGATATTGGCTGTTGGTTTGTCGTAAATAGCTTTTATTACTTTGAGATACGTTCCATCGATACCGAGTTTATTGACGGTTTTTAGCATAAAGGCCTGTTGAATTTTGTCGAATGCCTTCTCTGTGTCAATTGAGATAATATGTGGTTTTTGTTTTTGGTTCTGTTTATGTGGTGAATTACATTTATAGACTTGCGTATGTTGAACCAGCCTTGCATCCCCGCGATGAATCCTACTTGATCATGATGAATAAGTTTTTTGATTTGCTGTTGCAATTGGCTTGCCAATATTTTATTGAAGATTTTTGCGTCTATGTTCATCATGGATATTGGCCTGAAGTTTTCTTTTCTTGTTGGGTCTCTGCCGGGTTTTGGTATAAGGATGATATTGGTCTCGTAAAATGATTTGGGAAGGATTCCCTCTTTTTGGATTATTTGGAATAGTTTCAGAAGGAATGGTACCAGCTCCTCTTTGTGTGTCTGGTAGAATTCGGCTGTGAACCCATCTGGACCTAGGCTTTTTTTGTGTGGTAGGCTCTTAATTGCTGCCTCGACTTCTGACCTTGTTATTGGTCTATTTATAGTTTCAGCTTCCTCCTGGTTTAGGCTTGGGAGGACACAGGAGTCCAGGAATTTATCCATTTCTTCCAGGTTTACTAGTTTATGTGCATAGAGTTGTTTGTAATATTCTCTGATGATGGTTTGAATTTCTGTGGAATCTGTGGTGATTTCCCCTTTATCATTTTTTATTGCATCTATTTGGTTGTTCTCTCTTTCTTTTTAATCAATCTGGCTAGTGGTCTATTTTGTTGATCTTTTAAAAAAACCAGCTCTGGGATTTATTGATTTTTTGAAGGGTTTTTCGTGTCTCTATCTCCTTCAGTTCAGCCCTGATCTTAGTTATTCCTTGTCTTCTGCTAGGTTTTGAGTTTTTTTGATCTTGCTACTCTAGCTCTTTCAATTTTGACGATAGGGTGTCAATTTTGGATCTCTCCATTCTCCTCATATGGGCACTTATTGCTATGTATTTTCCTCTAGAGACTGCTTTAAATGTGTCCCAGAGATTCTGGCATGTGTGTCTTCGTTCTCATTGGTTTCGAAGAACTTCTTTATTTCTGCCTTCATTTCATTTTTTATCCAGTCAACATTCAAGAGCCAGTTGTTCAGTTTCCATGAAGCTGTGCGGTTCTGGGTTGGTTTCTGAATTCTGAGTTCTGACTTGATTGCACTATGGTCTGAGAGACTGTTTGTTATGATTTCAGTTGTTTTGCATTTGCTGAGGAGTGCTTTACTTCCAATTATGTGGTCAATTTTAGAGTAGGTGTGATGTGGTGCTGAGAAGAATGTATATTCTGTGGATTTGGGGTGGAGAGTTCTGTAAATGTCCACCAGGTTTGCTTGTTCCAGGTCTGAGTTCAAGCCCTGGATATCCTTGTTGATTTTCTGTCTGGTTGATCTGTCTAATATTGACAGTGGAGTGTTAAAGTCTCCCACTATTATTGTGTGGGAGTCTAAGTCTCTTTGTAAGTCATTAAGAACTTGCCTCATGTATCTGGGTGCTCCTGTATTGGGTCCATATATGTTTAGGATCGTTAGCTCTTCTTGTTATATCAATCCTTTACCATTATGTAATGGCCTTCTTTGTCTTTTTTGATCTTTGTTGCTTTAAAGTCTATTTTATCAGAGATGAGAATTGCAACTCCTGCTTTTTTTTGCTCTCCATTTGCTTGGTAAATCTTCCTCCATCTCTTTATTTTGAGCCTTTGTGTATCCTTCATGTGAGATGGGTTTCCTGGATACAGCACACTGATGGGTTTTGGATTTTTATCCAATTTGCCAGTCTGTGTCTTTTGATTGGTGCATTTAGTCCATTTACATTTAGGGTTAATATTGTTATGTGTGAATCTGATCCTGCCATTTTGATGCTAGCTGGCTGTTTTGCCCGTTAGTTGTTGTAGATTCTTCATTTTGTTGATGCTCTTTAGCATTTGGTATGTTTTTGGAATGGCTGGTACTGGTTGTTCCTTTCTATGTGTAGTGCCTCTTTCAGGAGCTCTTGTAAAGCAGGCCTGGTGGTGACTTTTTTACACATTTTTAATGTTGTTCGTTGGAAAGCGATGCTGTTTTAGTGGCTAGAAATTTTTAAAAAATTTTTATATGAGCTTCTTGAGTATTTCATAGTTTTTGCATAAAGCATGGGACTCTTTTTTTTTTTTCATCTTGAGCAGGTTGTAGTATGCAGTCAGCAGTAGTTCTTTTTTTTCTAGTATATGATCTAGGAGTTACTGTTTTAGTAATAAAAATATTTACTTATCTGACTCTAAATGAATAAGTCTCATTTTCTCAGGAGTTGTATCACCAATTACATATAAGAATTAAATTTGTAGTTCAGCCACTCTGGGAAGCTGTTGAAGATTTCTCAAAGAACTTGGAACTACCATAGGACCCAGCAATCCCATTACCACATATATACCCAAAGGAAGACAAATCCTTTTACCAA